GTAGGTAGGTAGGTAGGTAGGTAGGTAGGTAGGTAGGTAGGTAGGTAGGTAGGTAGGTAGGTAGATAGGTAGGTAGGTAGGTAGGTAGGTAGGTATGTGAGTGTGTGTCACACACACACGCTCACACACACACGCACATACACACACACGCACATACACACACACGCACATACACACACACACACACACGTACATACACGCACACAGAAATGAGTGTTGTGGCAAGATGATGCCTTCAGGTGGAATGATGCTCGACTTTATTAGATACCGGTAAGAATATGTGATTCTTCACCAAACTTCACTAAGCTCTCAATTTAAAACGGTATATTTCTTATAATGTTCGAGTAAAAGAAGTGAAGAACAATGTAACCCACTCCAGTTCAGTAGCGACGCACTCGTGCCCGTGTGTTTTGGTTTAAAACTAAATGTGTCACTACAATTTGGAATCAGGCTCTCGTCATGTTTTGGCATTTGGAGTTATTGGTTTAATCTTAAACCTTTCTCATTTGTCTTGCTATAGATGAAGGAAATACACACACATTTTTATTGTTGGACCATGAATTTTTTTTTTACCACAGTGTAGTATATAATTTCCTCCTTACCTACAAGCCTTCACGACCTCTTTGCAGAATTCTTCCGTAACATCGAGTCCAAGAAACTTTGCCAGCTTCTTGGTAATTTGAACAGGATTCTGGGGAATAAGATATAATTTATAGATTCCTTTGGATTTTATTTTCGTTTTATTTTGGTTATTTGTTGGGTTGTCTTTCTTTACCAGGGTTTTCTTGACTATACAGTACCATGCTTTCGGCGATGAAGAATAGAGCATTCCTCTGCTGGTGCTGATATCAGGTACAGACTAAAACTCTCTTAGGCTGCAGACAAAGAACATAGTTCCATTTCTTCATTGTCAGAGATTGACGTAGCAACTATTATTATTCGACCTAACATCGGAGTTGCAGTTGCGTGCGCCATAAAACTCCTACGTAACTGAAAAGGTGAGTATTCTTTGAGGTAAAGAATACACAAAGCCATATTCGATTAAAGACATTCGCTAAAGGACGAGACGTAAAACCTCCTTCATGTCCTCGTAGTAGATCGTCATGACAGGAACCTCCGGGTTGTTTTGCTGATGCTGTTGCATCTGACGCAAAAAGTCGAATTGGTGGGTTTCCCTCACTGGGGGAAAAAGAGGGGAGAGGGGAGGGAGAGGGGAGAGTGGCTATAAGACCAGAGTGTCAAATATTGTATTGAGACGTTGATCACATTTTATTTTTTACTCCTGTAACCAGTCTGATCAAAATGACGTCTTCTGTTAAGTATTACATTGTGCTATTACCAACACAAAATAATGGGATTAGTTTTCCTCCTTTGTCTTTAGCCACAGGATGTAATAAGAACTTCTCAGTGACTGCTAAATGAAAGTTCTGAAATAACGTGCATGGTCTACGGCTGAGTATGCTGCACAGTCACTAAAGACCGTGAAAATAAAATAGAAGCAAAAGAAATGTAGTTACTTAGGAGACTTCTGGGAATTTCTTGAAAGGAAAGGAAATCCGATTTAAACACTAAATGTGATTATTCTTAAGTTTGCTGTGGATGCACTAAGGGGCGGTTCGCTCAGTGGTCACCCAGCTGGGCGAATTGAGCAATTGTCCTGAGAGTGGAAAGAGCTCGCATAAAGATCACCTTTCTTGCCAATTTGGCTCTTCTTTTGTTTACAAAGGACAAGACTGCCTTGAGATGACTTACTATCATTGGCAATGTAACGTTCCAGTAAGTAAGACAGTGTGAATTTTCCCTCTTGTGACAAGTGGTAGTAGTAGGAGACAATCATATCTTTCGGGTTACGAGCAAGATGCACCATCTGTCATGAGAGAAAAAGAATACTGGAGAGTTACAACAGCAGACGTGCAGTTGCCTTGCACTGAGTCAAAAGTGACGGTTTTGCCAACTGTACTGGCAGTTCATTTTACTTTTCCATTTGTATCAAATCATCCTGAAATGATAAAGAGTACATGGGTAGTTTGCCTCCTGCATATCTCCCTGTGCACTTGCCTCGTTTGTCCCTCCAAAAAGTAAAGAAACCCAAAGTGTCATAAATGCCATGTCATTCAATGGTGCTACCAGGGGAGATCTTTGCTTTTGGAGTCTACGGTCAAAAGGTGACCTGTTAAATGGGTCTGCAAGAGCACACATTTTTTTAGGTTACCTGAAATTTGGGAACCTGGGAACATTTAAAAGCACACACATTAAAGAGATATTTTGCAGTAGCATATTTCATTGTCTTTTTATTGAGATCAACACATGTTTATGGTATAATATGTGGTGTCTGTAGATCTACATTTTAATTACACTCTATGTCTTTGCTTAGTAAGAGTTTTACTGCCCTCGCAACTGTATAGGGTCATACGAGCACGCGAAACACAATATGCTGGTTGCACAACATTCACAACAGTTCACAACACAGCTTGATTTCGTTAAAACACTGCTTCAACAAGGTCGTGAAAAAGTTAATATTCCTTAAACATTGCATGAGGGAAACATTTTACTCTAAGATTGTCAATTAGGAAGCATGACAGCTTGAATTTAAACTGTTCTAATTGTAACTTAATAACACAATGCTCAAAGATCAACTTTCAGACTATTAAATATTTAAATCAAGCACTAGACTAGGCCTGCTGAATTATGTTACTATTTATATTTTGTCGTCATGCGTCGGAAGGGACAACTTTGGTGTCCAGGAAATGATCATCAAATTACTCGATTATCACCAAAGCGACTATCTCCTATCAACGTGTTTCCAAAAGTTGGGTGTCTACACAAGTATGAGGACAATTTAGCCCTTGTTGGTGTAAATTTAAGTTTTCTTCTTACTTTGGGCCCTTTTGACCTTGTTCCATGTATTATGCACCCCTCAGATGACTCAGAGCAAAGGTTCAGGACTGCTGTGGCATTCGCAAACAGACAAAAATCGAATTATACAATGCTATTCTTCTCCAAACTAATGATGGGATATATCAGCAATACCAAAGATAGTACAAGACAAGATGGGCCACTCAGCCTAAAAAGTGTCCGCAGGAAGTATGCTCTTTGCTTCAGATGGCGCTGCAGTCTGTTTTGAAGCTCTCTTTCGTTTTTCCAGAAGAAGAATAGGAATAGCACATCCTTGCGTGCGCAGATCGACTGCTGTTCATCAGCAGTTCGGGTACGTTCAGTGCGGAGTTTTAGGGTTTTTTTTTATTTTAATGACCTCTCGCCCTTCATTCTAAAGTCAAATTAAACGAAGAAAACCATCTCCTTTTCCTCCGGAAGAGGTTTTTTGTCAGCGTAACCATTTTTAAAAAGCGTTCTTCCGAAATTTATCCCAAAACTTGCTAGTTTCACTTTGATTTTTTAAAACTCAAGTAGGGTAACTCTGTTCGCAAAGAGTGCGCTTTTGTGAAGAGGGCGCCACCAAATTTTGAGGACACTTTTTTAATTGGCTCAAAGAGAGAAGTGGCCCATCTTGTCTTGTACTATCTTTGGCAATACCGAATTCTATACGATATCAATATTTCTTCACAGGACGTATCTTTACATCGATATTTTTTCGATGTTACAAAATTATTATTGATAAATTGAAATCGGCCATCAAATATATAGAATATCGATATTATTGAGTCTGGTCGATATTTCCAAAATGTCGATGCGCGAATTACGACAGTCTTCTTTGTGTTGTTATTGTTGTCGTTTGTTTTTGTAAAAGCAGTCTGCTAGTTAGTGCGAGTGGTGGGCATACTATATATATCGAAATATCGATATTTTTCTTACCGCTTCGATACGATATCAATGTGTGTAAAAATATCAATATTTCGATATCGATATGTCCACCACTACTCCAACCCCTGTTGAAACGGTGACGAGTGGACATAGATGGAACTAGCTGGGCCCCCTTTCGATGAAAGGAATGATCTGTGCTATGACATCAACTAAAAGTCATTGGCCTACTATATTTACACTCTACTGGAATGGGGAAATAAATCTTGAGAGATGCAAAAAATGAGAAGGTCTAGATCTATACTACTCTCAAAACAAAATGCGCCTCGCGAAATACCACTTCCGGATTTTCTAAAATTACAAAGACAGAAGCGTCGGCCTACAAAAGCGATCGGCGAAAAAAAGAAATGTAGGTTTTTGCAGCAAAACTGTCTCAAAACTGAAAAAACCAAGGGTGTCATGATCTGAAGAATAGTTTAAAGAATTCCTTGGCGGAAACTGCATGTCGATCGATGAAGCTATTCAAAAGCCTTTTGAATAGCAAAATTTGGCCACCACAAATAGATAATAGATGAGCAAAACCCTGGTTTTTTCTGAGATCCAAGAACACTGTTTCAGGAAGCACTGCAAACTTTTACAGTCTGGGCTTATTTGACTGGACTACTGTTAAGGAGAAACAACATTAGTTCAAGGTCACATGTGGCATTCACAGCAATACAGATATTGAACGTTTACAATGTTGTTGTTCTCCCAGTCGTGCTCTGCAGTGTCAAAACCAAGACAGTGTACCAAAGTCATGTCTAAAGCTTAATACTTTCAACATGGCATATCAAAGGACAATTCTCGGCATCAAAGCATGTCAAATAAATATCAGTTTTTAATAGGGTAGTCTGTTATCTAAGCTCTTAGCTAGTCTGTCTTATGACTAATTTCAAAATCCCAAACGGCATTTTGAGCTGTCCTCAATGCAGCAAAAAGAGCAACAAAAACTTCTGAATCGAATTCTTCAACTAGAATACGGTACATAATTGCAACAAAAGTACAAGTCACCTTGACTTTCTTGTCTTTGATCTGTTGAGGAAGGTGGCACATTGGAAGGTGAGAGTTGAGGGTGCGGGGAGAGGCTTCCTTGTCTATGTCGTCAATATTGCAAAACTCCAGCATTGCTGCTTCTTTGGTGCGCTGGTCAAACGAAGTTCTGCCTTTTTGCAACATCTTTGTGACTCCCACATCCAGTGGGTGCCTACAAACCAAATTATATTTAAATTAATTTTTTAAAATGGGTGCATGTATGTGAGAGGGTAGCTGACAGGTTAAGTAAATAAATCTTACTTTCTCAGAATGGGTGCCTTGATTACTCACGAGAAAATCTTTTTGCATTCTCAGATGAAAGGGTAAAGGGGCTTTTTGAATTGAAAACTGCATTGCAAGCTTCTTTTATTAAGTGTCCGGGTTTGGTCAAATATTTCAACCGTCTGCTGTTCCTTCCATGTTGTAACATACCGATGACCAGTCAGGCCGCTTTAAAAATCGTGCGTATGCCTAATTTCATTATTTCGTGAGCGGAGAATCTGGCAGTTTATAGCCACAGAGATATGGGCGTCATGCACGTAACACACATAACATCTTTTCTTACCAATTCAAGTATTATTCGATTATTCCAAATAAAACTAAGCAAACAAACAAAAAACCCTGTCACTCCACTTGTTGGGGGGCTTTATGTTTAGTTCTTTTCAAAATTTATAGTTACCTTTTTGTTCACTCACATAAACCAGAGCAACATTTTCTACTCACCGCACTTTGGAAAAGCTGCTATTAAGACGTCATCATCTCTCATTTCCATTTTTCTGAGGGCCGTTACAAACTCCACTGAATCTATTTCAGGGTCGGGCGATTTCATGAGTCGCCACCCGAACGCTCGGATACCGAAGTCCTCCAATGTCTCGGGCAAACCTCCATTCATTACTTTTCTCAACGTCATCGTTTTTGTGAGGCATTTTTTTTTAACCAAAGGTTTTAAAAAATGTGATAAATCAGGTTTCTTCTTGTTGCTACGATAGCTCTTGCGGCTTCCCCAACATCTGCATGAACCGGCGCAGATCGCACTTAAAATAATATTCTCAGCTGTCTAAAATGATAACATTAGCCATGACTTTATAGGGATCTTGACAACAAATACTGTGGAGAATCAAAAGCAGGCCATCAACAGAGTACTAAGCCTAAATTAACACCCCTCTTTGCTTCGGTACATATATTATGGAAATAACATCCTGTCACGAAGATGGGACATCAGTGCTTGGGGGTGTTGAGCTTGCATCATAGAAGACAAAGAAGATTCAACGGAGTAAATGCTAAAAATTCTGAAGCCAGGTCTGGGGCAAACATTTTGAGATCATGGTACCCTCACTCCTTCCTCTTGTCTGTCTTCTTGATCAGCTCGTTTTTTTTTCAGGTTTTTTTTTTCTTTCCCTCTATCTTTCCACATCGTATCGTAGCAGTTTCCCTGCTGCTCATAAAACTGTTCTTAAAATATTATATTCTGACCATCTATTCAATATATACCGTTTCCATCTAGCTTCTTTCATGCATACATATATGGAAGAGGTATTTTCTTTTTTTCTGAGCGAGTGTTTCTTTCGTTCATCTCATCAGTCCCGTTCTATTTAAATAGTTACACATGCATGACGTACCTTTAGTTCTACTTCTCCTTATATTACATGGCCGAGTAGATCCACTACAACCAATTTTTCAGTACATATTTTTATTATGTGTACTAGTCATTGTGCTGTGCGTGATAAAATGCTTGTGTCGTGAAGGCGAGGCAGAGTGACGCACTGTCGTTCTGATCTAGATTCTTCGACAGTGCAAGAGGGAAGAAGGACTCCATATCTCAGTTTCTCTTTCTGGCCGGAGTCAGGGTGGAAAATGATTATTGCTAGACCAGCACGGCACTCCCATTCTCGGTAAAATCTCCCCCCTCCCCCCAACATCTTTGGGCCATGTAAGAGTATAGTGGGAAGTAAGCGGCGAATGGAACACTAAATAGAACCATGGTTGGGTAAAAATTTTAAAATGCAGTAAAGATTCAGTCATACTGACAATACATTTACCGGCAGTAAGTAGAGACAGTTTTAACTCTAGGTGAAATGCAATGTATTAATATACTAATTAATGTACTGTTCAAGAGTCTGATCCTTAAATTGTAAGCAACCGAGAAGCCAACTTGGCAACCATAGGCTTCCTCTTTACACCTTCTGGAAAATATTTTGTGAAATCGCCAGCTTGGAAAGGTAGTGAACACCTATCGTCTTTTTGTGCACCTTCAAATCGGCAAAGTGAATGTTGATTAAAAAAAAAAAATTACTTGAAACTGACTGAAATGCAATTCAAGCAAAAACATGACTTGTCCACTGTCCAGTCGACAGAAAGTACTCGGCTTCGCCGCTCTCTTGCCCTGCTAACACACGCCCCTGTGTGCAAGTATACTAAATGATGCACTATTGGCTTTTGACAATAGTCTAACAAATGAAGCTTTTTGTTTGGTTAACATTAACAGTTTAATTTAATCGATCACTATTGCACCCCCTATAAAACAAACTTGGAGGCGAACCAATTAGAAGCATCCTCCTTGGACAACCCTCTAACGACCAATTAGAATAGTTAACCTCTTCTTTCCGAAGCCATTTCCTTTAAGGAGGGGGGGGGGGGGGCTACACATGAAGGCTATCTCCCTTATTACTGGGCCGAATTTTACCAAATTTCACACATATAACAAGCATAGCAAGGAGTCTTAAAATCCGCAATAAAATTTGAGAAAAAAGTTTCGTTTCCATGGATACGGCGGCCATATTGGATTTTATTGACATGTCTTACGTAATGAATACCGCACTTATCGCTCATGGAAATTGATTGTTTTTTTGCATGCGTGTTCAATAATAGTAAATCTAAACATTTGTCGGTTGTTTTTTTCCTAAACGAATTAGAAATTGTTAAATGAATTTTTTCCTGAAGTAGCACTCAAGTTTGCGAAAAATCCGTGAAAATCCACACTCCAGACACCACCAACAAAAATCTATTCCATATATCAAAAATTCAACAGACAAAGATTTAGTATTACCTCTTCTCTTCATTCTGTGAAAATTGAATGAAGATTGGATTTTAAAAATGGTGGAGTTATTCAAAAAAGTATACAGAAAAGTCGTGTTTTGAGAAAACGGCCGATAAAGAAAAATAAAATACTG